CAAAAAAATTTCGCGTGTCTCTAACCCTTTAAAGCTCAGTGGTAACTATATCAACCACATGACGTAACATCAATAAGTCTGCACTTTGTCCACAGAGATTCGTACGATTCTCAGATTAAACAGCGATTATTTCCATAAACATCAATAACCGTGTACATCTGTGTTTTCTTTGCGGTACGGGCTGAATTATTACATATTATTTCGATGCTTCGAAGGGTTAATCTGCAAATTTGCCAATCAATAAACTCCGAAAATCTTGCATTTTGAAACACAATTCTCGCGACGACAGTTTTCATTCATAACATAATTTTCTGTGAGTTGATGCTGAGCTGTCACTGTAGATGTCACTTGTCTTGTTGGACAATATCTGATAAAAATAAAATAACAAGCAATTTATTTCGTTCCATTATTCTGGCCTTTGTGCATAAACCATTAGAGAAGCATTATCCAGCCAAACGAGGACTTAAAAACTTCACTTAAACATGACATAACAATTTTAATGGGCACTGAAGCCGGGAAACTAGATAACCACTCAGTTACAAAATGCAAGCCGGGCCAAAGTTTGAAATATGTCAAGCTGCGTGGTACTGACTTGGGGAAAAAATTAGTCTTATATAATTAAATAGATTTTGTAAATTTGTAGCAATTTAAATAACAATTACTCCTTAAAATGAAAACTCTAAAATATGCTAATTTAATAAATTACCCTCTTTTCTCAGAGGCAACCCAATCATCAGCTAAACTGTTATCATAATCGCCGGTCTTTTAATTTCAGTTCAGTCACATCCCCGTCTGCCAGTGCAACTCGCTTCGGCCACATTCCGTACAAAATTTTAGTCGGAAAACCCAAGGGAAGAGAATTTTTTCACATAAGCGTCAACGGGATAATATTAAAACGAATCTCAAACAAGAACCAACCGGCTCGGGCTAGGATCTGCGACGACTCTCGTGAACTGAGTAACAGAACTTCGGGCTCTTACCCAGCTTTTGCATCTGCTACAGTCGTGACGTAATTTAAATAATTATCCAAGCACATGCTTGGTGAGACTGAGGAAAACACAAATACCCTTAGCACAATCGGCCTCTGAGCCGAGATTTGAACCCAGGACGTCCCGAATGTAAACCAGGCGTGCCAACCAACCAACCGACAGACGCCGAGACTTCTTGGCGCGACCGCCTCAAAAGTTCGATTGGATTGCGCTTAAGTAGTCAATGATCTTGAGTTTTCGAGGGGCTGTTGCTGACCACGCCCAAGCA